AGTGTCATATCGGCTTCCAAAGCGGAGCTCTTTGATCACTTATCAGGTCAATGGACACTGGAAGCGAATCAATGACGATATCCAAATACCAAACAGATTAACGGTAGACTTTGACTCAGATTCAAAGCACAAACGATGTATCTCATCGGCCCCCATTGCCATGCTGGAGGCCCGGAGAACCCCTTCTCCTGATGCCGCATATGACAGCACGCAAATCTCCTAAACACCAAAAGTGTAAGGAATGACCGCGAGAATAGACAACAGGTGCAGATCCTCTCTGGCACCATGTCTGAGGTGGAAACAACTACAATCCAGCCAAAAAAGCCTCTCGGTGAAGATAAGCATAGGCTTCCTGAGTTCCGAAAAGAGGATAAAAACTGTGCTTGATTTGAATGTGCCGGTCACGAAGATTATCAGAGCCAATACTGGTCCTGTTTGAATAGCAAAGTTTGTAGAGAGACCCTAGTCGATTTTATTGAAGTGAACCTTTGCGAGTGGGCGAGCAACAACAACCAGTTATGTTTTATCTGTAGCGCATCCATTCCTGGCACAAATGAACTGACTAAAACAGGACGCGATAGAAATATTTGTGATTACCGACAAAGAGCAATGGACAGCTGTTACGTCTTGTGTCTGGTCTCTCTTAACATTCAAATGGGCTAATCCAAGCTTGACAATCTAAAATGACCAGCTTTGCTTTAGCCGTAGCGCGCAGGAAACAGTGCGTCACCATTTGTGCTTATCGAGTTGCGTCCAGCTTAGCTGTCTCGAGCAGATCGCGGCTTCAGTGGCCCACCAAATCGACCTCCGTCAGTCAGCGGGCTCGACTGAGACAAGAACGAGGTCTGTCTTTTTTGAGAAGCAGAAAAGGCGTAGGAAGACAGGTGGTCAACTAGGGGATAGAAAAAACCCTGTTATCAACTGACTGATACAGTGCGCCAAACAGAAGCGCGTACTACCATAGTGTTTCTTTCCCGTTTCAAAATGATAGTTTCGCCAATCGAACTTGATATGGCATAAGTGTTTCAGTCTATGCATATAACCATTATCGTTCAGTCGTGGTATCAATGAGCTCCTCGTGAGGGCACGTCCCCAAAACCAGGATTTCTGTCAACCAATCAGACAGGATGATTTGTGTGGCCAACAGACTGCTGTCCGAGAACAACCGCAACATGTCGGCACTAGTCACGCGGGCGAACAGGCCTCAAATGAAAACGGGGTCAGTGCATTTGTCTATAGCCTCGCATGTGCATGTTCTAAGCCTAAACTGTGGACGCGGAGGTTATCAGTGTGACGTATCGATTGATTACAGTCTGTCTGCAGTCTAATTTAAACAAGAGCGGACGCTATAGCGATGGTGAGATTGAACACGATGTGCAAAAGTGAAAAAGCCATGACTTAGGTCTGCAAATACACCCGACGGATGATTCACCCTGGAAGATAAAGTAACCTTATCACTATGCGGTGATCGCCAGACTTCATTTTACTTACAGACAGATGTAAGGGGGCCCATCCTCCAATCACTTTTGGGGGCCATTTCTCTGAGGACGATCGTCTCAAACAAAATGCGTAGAGGCCGATTCTGCGAGGAAGAGGCTGAAGAAGGAATTAGTTGAGCGTAAAATGTCTGATATATATATATATATATATATATATATATATATATATAAAGGGTACGATTGAATCGCGATATTTTCGACTCAGGTAGACGAAGTCTTTCTTTTGGTTTAGGAACTGTCACCTGGTCATGTGTGTTCACTTTCCAAACGTGTTTGTATGTCCTCAAGCAATGCAATACGGAATCACAAATTTTGCACAAACCATAGCACTCTCGCCTTTTTGGACCGATAGAACTAATCACTGATTGTAATATCGTGTGGTTCACTTGAAATAGTATTCGCTTTTCGAAATGAAAAATCTTCCACGGAAATNCTGGTCATGTGTGTTCACTTTCCAAACGTGTTTGTATGTCCTCAAGCAATCCAATACGGAATCACAAATTTTGCACAAACCATAGCACTCTCGCCTTTTTAGACCGGTAGAACTAATCACTGATTGTAATATCGTGTGGTTCACTTGAAATAGTATTCGCTTTTCGAAATGAAAAATCTTCCACGGAAATTTATTCTTCCCAAGGGTATTTTTATGTTTACTTGCTGAGATAGTCGTACCTTTTTGTTTTTCTGCGGTTTTTGGTCTGAAAACATCAATTTTGAACATATAATTACCCCAAATAGACTATAATCTCAAGAATTTTCTATCCGATCTGTTACTCATTTCTAGTTCCAAGGAAGGATCATCAATGAAAAGACATTTATCGAGTGGCTTGAGACCCTGATCGAAGTGAGTGAATTCGACCAAACAATATTTAGTCTTACCTCGAATTCCATGTTTGTGCTTAGGTGGATCGATCATCATTCGTTTCATACAAGTACAAACATTGTTACAAATGTGGATTGCCTAAACGAGACACCTGGAATAATGCAAGCCGAGAACACAGTGACACACCGGTACCTAAATGTACTTTTATACTTCAGTCGTTTCTTACTCGAGTCAGTGAATATAACCAACTACCTAGCATGGCTATGAGGGATATGGCTCACGTTTCACCACGAGGTATTGGATATCGGCCTGATAAAAACCGAAGCCGAATTGATTTATCAGTTCTTCTGTTTCGTTTGTTCATTGCTCACGTGTCTGCTCTCAGCGCCATCTTCACGCATGCATTTATGCGGATAGAGTGCAACGTTAAACATTTAAAATGCACATTTAGCTTACAGTTACTTGTGAATAGTGGCGTATTGGTATTGATTTGAAATGACCATCCTTCAGACTTCACATTCACGCAAATCCCTCAGCTCTTCCAGTTAACCATACACTCGGGAGCACCAGAGTGGAGTTTCACTCTTACTAGAATTCATCAATAGTGCAAATCCACCATCCTATCCGGCCTTTGAACTCTGGATCTCCTGTATAAACAGTGCGCATGTTCCCAATGTGCCAACCAACTCATACCGGTTCATTTACATGTCGTCCCCAGTGATAATCATTCAGCATAAGCACTACTGATGAGCTCTGATAAGAGCGAAACGTGAATCTACTACTCCCGAGCTTAACGTTCAGTGCAGAACTATAGGTTATGCGTGTTAGCAAAGCCTGAAAGATGGCCAGTTCAAATCAATAATCATTTATAATCAAAATAACATTCGAATGATTCAGACGCTGAGTGAAAAGGGGCAGTTGCTGTTGCAACTTTACTTATTGCAATGTTCTTTTACGTGATTGGAGGAGATAACTCCTCACCAGAGTATCTGTCCTTTTTATCTGTCCAAGTGATGTTCACCGTCAGGGTAGATGAGTTCTGCCTCAGTTTGGTTTTTGTGTGATATTTGATTGACCTCCTTCAAGTTAAATTGTTGGGAGATTGTGTAACAGCTGATTGGGCGTTTGTATAGATGTGAAAATTAGCGCCGTTCCGGTAAGTCATTTGTTAGCCGAGAGTTCTAAAGTGAACGATAACGTTTATTTAGCTGACACTAGCTATAGTTTTGTCGTTTGAGGAAAAGCACTACATATACTTGTACTAGAAGAGAACCAAACCACGAAACGCTCATTTACTCTTAGTCCGCCAAACTGGGTGTTTGATACTCTCTTGTGGATAGTTGAACCGGGCATATCCCCACGAATATTACGCCACTGCTTTTACTCTCATGACGGTTCAGATGCAAACCATTCTGGAATTCCTGTACGTGCAATCCGAATTCGGTCGAGTGGGTGAGAATCACCAAAGTTTGATCAGCACAATGAAACGCATGGAGTTGGCACTCGGTCGTAATCTGGGCCTGTACCCAATCTCTGCCAACGTGTTGAAAACTCAAGCAAAAAACGGTAAGATGCCTCGTAAACCCTATCGACCTCTCCCGGTCCGTGTGATCCATCAGCGATTGCTGTCCTACGAAGTGTTCAAACCCCGTTTGCTCAGTGTGATTGAGCACAGTTGATGCGGTTCTTATGTACAACTTATCGAACTGTATTCATTTTGTTTGTATTTTTAAACTATCTTCGGAAATGCGATATTTTTAAAACAGACTTATTTGACCAGTGAAAAGTAGTTTTTCATCGTTCATAGGGGTTGGGTTTTACATCACTGTACTACATGCAACCAACACCACAGATTTTAGTTCACCGAAAGTTAGTCGGTCAGTTTGCCGGTGTTTGCCATCGTGACACACGTGACACAAACAAACCACTTAATCATGTGCCTGAAGTTGGTGGGTGACTGGACCAATCACAATAGTCTCATAGAGCTAGGTGAAGCCAAATGACAATAGACAAATCGATCGCAATACTGATTGGTTAATTGATTGGCCAATAGGAATAACAGGAATGCAATTTATGTAAACCAAGTTCGAAAGGGGCCAACAAAGGACAAATAATTTTGAATGGGGAGATCGGCATTAAAGGAGTGCAAACTACGCAGGAAAATTAATGGTGATTCCTTTTCTTGTACAGTTGGATTATACCATTGGGCCTTACGCAACCGAGGTTCCAATCGGCTCATGTTTCATTGGCTCTTTGTGATCGTGGTTTAGTCACAAACTGACTTTGCGGCTGCGCTAAGTTTTGGGTACCCTATTGAGGCTGTGAACGAAGAGAGTAGAGGTGGAACCGTTATCTTGTGAAACAGTGCAACAAGCGCTTTGAGGCTTTACTCAGACTGGGAAATATTTGTCACGCAGCACACTTCCAACTGTAATGGAACTCTAACTATTTCTCCAACATATGATGAAATACTTTCAAGGGTAGTTCATTGATTCTATCAACTATAGTTCATTGGTCCAATACCAACTTGATTAGAGTACACCAATTTAGTGGTTATTGTTCTCTACAGTGCATAGTGTTCGGTGAACTTCATTCATTGATGAACTGTAGCCGTGTTATCGATTGCTGTACTGTCCAATCCAGCAAACAGTAGAGTCACTAAGTTGGACCTGTCAGTGGCTTTAATGAAACGAGGGGCATAACCAAAAGGATGTGTAATGAAGCTAAAAGATGATTGATGATGAGTCAACTTCCACTCAGGCGAATAAAGCAAGTGCTTTAAGTTTCTCTCCTCGTTCGGAATATGTTGAGATCAGAAAGGTAGCTTAGCTGACGTTGACTCAAATGCAGCGCAAAATCCAGCGATTAAAAGATTGCGTGGGTTGAAATGATAAATGGTAGAAATAGTCATTCAACGGTTCGTATGGCCTTGCATGTGACTGGCATGATTCATCTGAGGAGAGAAAATGACAGATTCATTCAAGAATTTAAGAAATCCAGTTATGATATGAGGAAATCTTAGTATGGATTGACGAAGTTTTTTTGGCTATACCACATGGAAACCGCAGACGGTTCCTTGTATCAGGATTATAAACAGTCGTCTCGCCCCTAGTTACGGTGATGACACACCATGGCATACCATGAGAAAGCTCGACCGTTGTACAGTTAAAGTATACAATTAGTAGTGCTTGGTATTAAAATAAATTAATAAATGAATCATGGCATCGGGGTGTACACAACGAACACAAGGCTTTTCAGACAAGAAACGAAATGACAGAGATCTGTGCTGAATAGAAGGCGAAGTTACTTAATGACCTAACTGAAGGTAGGTGAAAGCCTTTTTACTCGGGTTTTAAGATATGAAAAAGGTGGTTTTTGTGGTTCACTAAAAAAACCACTTCCTTTTCCAGAATCATAAATTGCAGATCGGAATAGCTTTTTGAATGTTCAACTGGGAAAGTGTGCGCACGAAGCGATAGAAATTCGATTGCCCTGGCTCTCCCTCTCTCTCTCTCTCGTTTACATACCCAGCAACAATATACAACTCCCGAGACAACATTGTACGATAACATCAGGTTATCGGGCAAAAGAGAGAGAGATTTGAGCAGCTTAGAACCAAGTAGAAACTAAAGAAGTTCAAAGTAAGTCATGCTAAGTAAGTCAAAGGCTAAACTGCGAACTGAGCCACAATACACATCGTTCAAGTCAAAGTCAAAGTTTTATTTTGGGGGAAATACTTACAAGCAGTTGCTTTAGTGGATTTACTGTTCATACAATGATGAGGAATGTCAGCATTTTTCCTTGTTTTATACACTGCGACGGATGCTGAAATTTGAAACTGAACGATGTTTCATCCAATTTGTGCTTGAAATAATCAATTGTGTGCGCAGAAACAACATGAGGTGTCAGAGAATTACGAATACTGCACCGTCTTTGGGCAAATGAGTGACGCCCGCATTCTATTCCTAAGATGTAGATATTTGATGGGAAAGTGAACAGTGGGCGACATGGGTGCTCATAGTTTTGCATTATTTGACTATACCTAAATCAAGCCTCCTCAAATTCAGCGATACTATTTGGAGTACAACCCCCATGATTCCAATGTTTCCATATAAGTCTTGAAATGCAGCCCTTTGACCATTTTGGTGGCCACTTTTTGTGGACGTTCCAGAATCTTACGACCGCGTTGCAACCGTTAACTCCACGCTTGAATGACTCACTCTGTTGAATTGATTTTGTATCGGTCACCTACTAACCCCGGCTTGTATTGTGTACGATTTTACCATTCAATTCCACTCAGGTCAGAACGTCAAAAATTGTCTAAGGTTTATCTAACAGATTCACCGGGGAGAAGTAGTCCGTTTTTATATGCCTACTTGTTCGAATGCATAAGATGGTATTGCTCAGGATCGATCGTTTACAGATACCGACTCAAAGATTTGTGGTTCGGGTCCCCGCAGGGGTATACAACAAGGAGGAATCAACGTTCCAGCATTCCTGGTCGGACATCACAATGACTGCCATATTAAATAAATTGATCTCAAAGCAAACTGGTGGGTAAATTACCGATCCCTGAAGGAGTAAGGGATTCGAGAGATTATCTGAATTGAAAAAGGGCTTCATTCGGTTAGGGAATGGATTATAACATGAACGTTTCTTTTCACTATGCAGCGTTGTCAGCAGTTCCTGGTACCACTTGAGTGTCTGCTACTCGCACGTACAGTGAGATTTGACAGGCCACAAGCTTCTATTTTGGTCACTTTATAAACTTTGTGTAACCTGGAATGTTTTTTAAAAATCAAAATGGATATTTCAAGATCAGAAATATCGAAAATATATAAAGAATATGAATGGGTTTTGTGTAATCTTAAAACGCAATGCAATAACACCGACACACAAATATGAATGCATCACGTGATCCGATGTTTTGACCCCGGTTCCGTTTGCCCGGGGTGGGGGGGGGGCGGCTGTCTACAAAAATGTTTCTACGCACTCAAGCTACTTTCAATTTCTATTTATAGTGTGTTTAATTTTTAAGGCAACGGTGCTTTCTAATAAATATCTATTCCAGAGATGATGAAATCACGTTGCAAGGATAATTCGTTAAAAGGCATTCTAAATGAAGTGTTTTCTGTAGGGCTACGCCACCGATTATTTGAAAGAGCAAGCCACACTCAATTGCCTAATAGTTTAGAAATTTGGTTAGGGTCATTGATGACTTAAATGGAGGTGGAGACTTGAGAATCATAAATTATGTACTAGTTATTAGTGTTGATAAGTTTTCCGAGATGGAGATGTCTTGTTGTTCGCCGACGTTTCGTAGCGAAGTTGTACCGATAATGTTGCCTAGCTTGGCCACCAATTGTTTGTGAACAACATTTCCAGTCTTCGCATAACTCACCAACATCAACATCCGCATCCCGAGCTACTATCAGTTCACTGCGCGCGCGCCTCTTGAGCGACCGCGCTACAATTTCTCCTCACGGTTGCGAAATATACGTGCTTTAATCATATACACAAAAGATGTCATGTTAAAAGTTAAGCATGTTGTTATGAAAAACAATACTGCCATTTTTGGAGTTCCAGTCGCTAGTCAAACACAAAAATACCGCAAATGCGGAAAACGTATTCGTGCCTGGTGGGAAAACTGCTCTTGCTCGTACCACTCTCAGCAAGATGACTTCACCTACCATTGTGAATAATCATGTTGGTTATTTGCTTGGGAAGCTTCCTTTTATCGCCATCACTAAGTTATGCATTGCACCCCATTGTAGACTGTCAGACAAATTGTCAGATTTTGTGATAGTTTCCTACCGGTTATTACTCCATCTCTTACTGACAGCTTGCACCGAATAGCTGATGATTTTAACCACGCACACTTCCAAACTGTATTGTCTAAACCTCAGTGACGTGATTATTGAATCCAAATAGAGCCTCCTCTGTGGTCTATGGTCTACACTCCGTGGAAGTAGATTGCACCGTAGGCATCCGTAAAGAAAAAATAGCTGCTCGTGAATGGAGGCTACTCGGCAGGCGCAAACCCCCTATCGGTGAGTTGTTTTTCCTCGTTGTACGCCCGAAAAGGCTTCTCTCATCTAGACCACATAATCGCGCAACACGCGGATACATTTTCTACCAAACATTTTTCTCTCCCCTAGGCACCGGTGATCACAACCTGATCCTGGTCAGACCTACGATTTACTCACACTCAGAGCATTTTCCATTTGCTCGACCCAAACACAAATCATGTTCCGTTCTGCCAAAAGTTTGAAGATATGGGAAAATGTGATTGCTCAGTGATAGGAAATAGCGGGAGCTTGACTGTGGGTGGTTGTGGTGATCCGGGCCCACGAGATGACGCCTGTCCTCGAGCGACACATGACAGTTTTTGGACAACTTTACGGGTGACTTCAACAACGCGCGTACGTGTCACTGCTTCTGACCAACATACCATAGGTAGACAGTACTAGCCAATCAAAGACCGTGTGGCCCAGACAGAAGCAGAAGGACGCAAGCAATACTGGAACGGGATTGGTAGAAGCCCGGTTAACAAATGAACTTACTTTATGTATATATTTTTTAATCCCCATTTTTTTTCCTAATAAATGATCTACCACTCCTGCGGCCCTGTTCCTCGCGTCTCAGTTACGTGGGATATTGCGTGCTAGTGGCATTGCAT